AAAAAAATTATTAAAAGCATAAGTTAGCTTATTATTGAGCATACTGTTAGATATACTTTACAAAATTTAAGTTTATGTTTATTTCAAATTTAATATCTAAAAAATTCAACATTTTTAAAAAATTTAGTATTTATTTATATAATAACAAATTAGCAAATATTATATAAAGAATAAAATCATAATCTAAGTATAGTATGATTTTATTATTTGAATTAATATTTCTTTATTAAAATTAGCCTAGTTAATTACAATTTAATGTTTTTTTTTAAAATTGGTAAAAATCTTATTACATAAAATTTTAGTAATTTGATTATACAAATGTTTTAATAAGATTAATTTAAAAACTAGTCAGATTTAGAAATACGATTAATTAAGTTGTTTCGAATTTTTCAAGTTGGATTTAGTATATATTCGAGTTTGATTTTTTCAAACAGGTATTAGCGTTAGCATCTAAATATGTAAAATTTTTATTGAATTGATAAGATAATCAAAATCATTAATTTACCAGAGGTAAACCGGTAATTTAATATTTTGGGGTAGTTGCAGAATGTATGCGTGGCAAATTAAAGACAAATCAAAAAATAAAAATAAAAAGGAGCCACAAAAGGTTGGGTATTACACAAACTTGTCACAGTTCGGTTAGCAATGTATGTATTTTACGGATTTTTTTTTGAACTATACAATGTATCATAACAAATAGTCCATACTTGACATGATTTCTAATGTATATATATATGAAAAAAGTGAATATAGCAAACCTGTACAGTATGGTTAGTAATGTATGATATGGTTTTTTTTTTATATATGTATAGTAATAGAATCATACAAGTATGGATAGGCTATTTGTTATACATGTATAGTTTTAAAACATACATACCATACATACATTCAAAAAAAACCTTACAATACATACATTGCATACATTGCTAACCGTTTTCTATATTTCCCAAAGGTTACACTGATTATCAATTGAAAACAATACTGCATGTAATCTATTTTTTTTTACTTATTCAATATACAGTACATAGTATATATTTTATATCTTTTTTTTTTTTTTTTTTTTTTGAGGCATTTAAGTACCGTTTTTTTGTTCTTACATTACTTGAACAATTTAAACTCTTCACGCCATATCAATAATAAAAGAACTTGGTCTACTTAATTAGAGTTTTTTCCCCAAATTTAACGCATAAAACAGTATAATGAAAGTCATTGATAAAATTTTAAAAGCTCAAGAGGAAGATCGTTCTTACTGGTCTTTTGAATATTTTCCTCCGAAAACTCAACAGGTTTAGTATGAATTTACTTTATACTCTACTGTATTAGAAAAGTTGCAAGAGTGATTTCACTTCTTTAGCTTACATCAGATGGGAGAAAAACGCGAAATTTATGTTGATATATTATAATGTTTTCAAAACTTCCTATATTAACATGATTTAAATTGTCGAGTACAAAGTACATCAATTATCTCAATCCACGGAAAAATAAATTGATAAACGCGTCATTCACATTTTTTTGTATGATTTATTAATACTAGGGTGTCCAAAATCTTTACGATCGTATGGAACGAATGTATCGACTTGGACCTGAATTTATTGATGTTACATGGAATGCTGGCGGTACTTCTTCACAACTTACAACTGAGATCGTAGCCACTGCACAGTCCGTATATGGCTTAGAAACGGTCATGCATCTTACGTGTACAAATATGCCTAAAGAAAAAATCGATAAAGCACTTAAGGTAATTAATTAACAATCGTTTTTCTAATTGTTAAAACGTTTATATTATGAATTAATTAATGAAATATTTTAGGACGCAAAAGAATGTGGCTGTCAAAACATTCTTGCTCTCAGAGGTGATCCACCTCGTGGTCAAGAACATTGGGAAGCATGTGAAAATGGATTTTCTCATGCTATCGATTTAGTCCGTTACATCCGTCAACAATATGGTGATTATTTTGGTATTGCTGTTGCTGGATATTGTGAAGGTCATGTTGATAATCCAGATAAAGAGGATGATCTGCGTCGTCTCAAAGAAAAAGTTGATGCCGGTGCAGATTTCATTATCACCCAAGTATTCTATGATGTTGATTTATTCTTGGATTGGGTCAAACGATGTCGTGCTATTGGCATTTCTTGTCCTATCCTTCCTGGAATTTTACCAATTCAGAATTATGCTGGCTTTAATAGAATTATAGTTCTTTCAAAAACAATTGTTCCGCAATTTGTGTTGGAAGAATTAGAACCAATTAAAGACGATGATGCAGCTGTCAAAGAATATGGTATAAGAATGGCGGTTGATATTATCAAAAAAATGTTCGAACATGGTATAAAAGGCTATCATTTCTATACCATGAATCTTGAGAGATCAACTCGATTAATTTTAGAAGCTCTAGAATTCGTACCACCGGTAGAAAAAGTGAAGCCATTACCTTGGTGCCCAGTAAGTGTTCACTATATACATTTTTATTATTAATTTTCAATGTGTATTCTTAACGAATTTTATTATGTGAATGTAGTCACTCTCGGCCAAACGTAAGAAAGAGAATGTTCGTCCTATTTTCTGGAGAAATCGCACGAAAAGTTATATTGCACGAACCGAAGCATGGGACGAATTTCCAAATGGAAGATGGGGCGATTCTCGATCACCAGGTAATTAATTACTAGGCTTCTTGTTTGTTAATTCACAAATATTTTTGTAAGCATGTTAATATAGACTCTTCAATTTAGCTTTTGGTGAGCTTGACGGTTATGGGGTTTCTCTTAAACACAATGTATGTGTAAATTATGCATAAATTATATTAACTACTTTTTCTTTTTGGAATTTTTTTTTTTAAACTTTTGTAAAAAAATTTTTTTTTCGCTTATATTATAGGCAAAAGAAGCTTTGAAATTATGGGGTTATCCTCAGAAACTTAGTGATATTTCTGATATATTTGTTCGATTTTGCCGTGGTGATATAAATTCTTTGCCATGGTCTGATATAGCTCTTGCAGAAGAATCTAATATCATTAGAGAACAATTGGCACAAACTAATTCTTTGGGGTATTTTTCAATTAATTCACAACCTGCTGTTAACGGAGTTCGCAGCGATCATAAGGTTTTTGGTTGGGGTCCAAAGAATGGATATGTTTATCAAAAGGTAGTTAAAATCCAAATATTCGTTAATAAGCATATTCTTTGATATTTAATTAACCTTATTGTTTATTTCTTAGGCATATTTAGAAATTTTTGTTTCTCCCGCACGACTTGATGCTCTTATTGCAAGAATTGAACTCGATCCAAATATAACTTATTATGCCGTAAATAAACAAGTGAGTTGTCAATAACATAAATTTTTTTGTGTAACTTGGATCAAAATTGTTAAATTTTTTTTTTTTTTTTAGGGAGATTTAAAAACAAATACTCAGAGTGATGGCCCTAATGCTGTTACCTGGGGAGTTTTCCCTGGGAAAGAAATAATTCAACCGACCGTCGTCGAAGCAGTGAGCTTTATGGCCTGGAAGGTAAATAGTTTTGTAAATTTTATAACACTTTCACTATTAATATTCATTTATTAATATTCCTTTTCTTAAATTTCTTATATAAATAGGATGAAGCATTCGAATTATGGAATGAATGGGCCAAAATTTATGATACGGGATCCATTTCTGCTAGATTGATTACGAAAATAGCAGAAGAATGGTACCTTATTAATATTGTACATAATGATTTTCATGATAGTGAAGGTATATTCAAAATTTTTGAAAATAATGCTACGGACTATGTTGAGGCTGATCGTTAAATATAGAGAATACTCCAAAAAAAAAAAAAAAATTAATTTATGATTGTAAGTGAAAAATATATATAATATACCGTATATAGATTGTTCCTTTATTCGGAGAATGAACTCTGTTATTAAATATGTTATTTAATTCTTGAACATTAATTTGGGAAAAAAAAAAAAAAACCTTTTAAATCATTTCACATAAATAAGTGAAATAATAATGTTTGTTTATTTATTCGTTCATAATTCAAAGAACATATATTGTTTTATATTTATATTATTTTTATTTTATTTTTAATATCCTTTAGTTTGATATATATATATATTAATAAAATACAAAATAATCATACTATTAATTGTTATATTCAGTATTAAGAAAAATATATAAATGTTATCTTGTGAATGGCTCGGAACGTCGTTGATTTAGAGAGGGCTGAGATAAAGGTTTTAAGCCAATTGAGGCGATTACAGTATGACCGGCTCGTCAACGCCTCGATACTTGAAGATATCTGAAATTCAAGTACTTATACTAGCTTTTTGAGGTTACTTGGAAATTTACTTCAACTAAACACGATTTCGACTTTAATTTAAACCGCAATGATTATTAAAACAATAATGGCGGTTTAAAGATAATTAGATAGTCAAACAATCAAATAAGTTTAAAGACGAAAAAGCATTTCCCCCATATACATAACATTTTTTCCGGATGACATATATTTAAAATATTTATTTCAAATATTCACATCATCCGAAAAAACAATAGACAATTACAAATCATATAGGGTATATCGTTCTTGTTTGTTATCGGGAAGTTGTTTTTTCAAAGTTGATAAGAATATATAACACGTCCCCAAAAAACATCATCATGAACGATATAAAATAATAATAATAATGATAATAAATGCATTGCCGCCATATACTAACCTGATATATAATCTTTATTAATCGTAACATATTTATACAACCCTCCTTGTATAGATATGCAAAGACATAAAAAAGACAAAAGGTGGATGAAAAAAAAAATAAAAAAAAAAAATATAAACTAATAAATGAGGGATATAAGCTTTTGTTCAAGTAATTATTAGTTATTTGCAAAAAAATTTTTAAAAAAAGTAGTGATTTTTGCAATGTTATATAATTTTGTTACCGTTAACCATGCCACATAAATAAATCAATACCCTCCCCTTTTTTCTTTTTTTTTGCAAATGCTTAGAACAATAGCTCATATCCATCCCATTTACTGATCCGTTTCATAAAACTTATATGCAAGCTCGGCTACCTCCTCCTTTGCATCTGATTTCTTGGGACATAACTTACTTCCGGTAAAAATGCGACAATTAATGGTTACAGTGCTTCGATATCCTCCGCATATGCTATGAAAGTCAAAATCTGGTTTCGACCAACTTCTCCTTTGGCAAAGCTCATGAAGCAAAGTAATATATTTTTTTCGCAATAGCCTTCCATTTTTATCAGATACCACTTTCTCAAGAGTCCTTGTTGGATTATGTAACGCTGCGGTAGTACCGTATAAACGTCTCTCTTTACGGGATCGACCATTGAGCTTTTTTGTAATTGCATGTTTATTATTTGATACAGTGACAGCGTACGGATGATAACCATTACTAGCACTTGTTTGGGTTAATGATGTTGAGGGATTCGCTACATTAATAAATGATGCATTAGTTGATACTTGACCAAATTGACTCGCATTTGGTGTTGGAAAAACATAGGTATCTGTAGATTTAATCTCCAGATTATTGAAAAATGGAACTATTGAGGAACTATCATATCCATATGAACCAACCGTCGGTTGAGTATTAAAACTAATGGCATTACCAAGTAGATTATTATTAGTATTGCCATTTGGGTCCTGATATCCTCCTAAAGGCTGATCGTATGTAAAGTTCGTAACAGCTTGAATATTCTCACTCATGGTTGGCGTGTAATAATTGGTATAGTTATCATAATAACCATGAACTGAATAATTTATAAAAGGTGGTGATGGTTGAACTATTTCTTGTATTTTTTTGGGTTCTTCCCTATATATTCCTTGACGAATATTATAAGTCCTGACCTTTCGGTCAATTTCTGCTTGTTCTTTGCTGACAAATTCATTGTATAATATATCAAAAGCTATTTGTGACACATGATCTTTTGCGTCTTTCTTAACCCAAAATGTATGCTCAGAACTAAATTTCCTCGAGTTTACTTCACAATCCATTTTTATGAGTCCTTCCCATTCTTGTCTTGGATGATAAACAGGTTGTCCAAGTTTATGATATTGACAAAATTCAAGTAACATAACGCAAGGTCTTTCATTTACGTGCGTCGCTTTGAATTTTTCCAACCATTCAATAGAATGAGGGATCGTATCTGAAGGTTGAACTATTTTTGGAAGCTGTCTTAGTCCTCCCACTCTACATAACCTGGTCTCCTTCTTTGGAACTGTGCTTGCTTTGACAAGTACATCTTTGATTTGTTTAAAAATTATGGGCATTTGTTGCTCCAAAGTTAATAAAGCAATCTTTGCCGCATCTTCTTTAGCTTCTTGTTTCTTTAGTCTTGGCTCAGGTGACTTAAATCTTTGATCAAGAAACTCCACAGTACAATAAAACCCATTAGCTAAAACTTCTTGTATGTAGCTATATATTGGCGGAGCTGGTGTCCTCAATTTTTGATGTATGGTATTGAGCCAAGTAATTGGATTTAACTCATTATAATCCGTATCGTTCCAACGCTTCAAAAGCTTAGGACCTTCAGGGTCATATAACGTCGAACCTTGAGTTGGAAAATTATTTCCACTAACATCAGACGATGTAACTAGTCGAATAGTATTTACTTGAGGTTTTAATCTTCCCTTGTTGTCTTTTGGCATGATGATAAGTAAGCCTGTGCAAATATCGAAAAATTTTCACGTTTAATGCATGAATGGGGTTGAAATTGTGGTAGTTCCAATCAATATTTTTTTTTGTCCTGAATTTTTTTTTTTTATTTAATGATATTGAAAAGAATTTAGACCACCCAATCAAATAAAAAAAAAGTATTTAAGAAAATATTGTAACACATCATGTGCATTTGTATTCGATTTAATTTTAGTTTTGTTTTGCAACATCTTTTTCTTATATGGAGTATGCTGCAACAAAACCAGACAAAGTGAACATGCGTAGCAATCTAAATAAATTTATGTTTTATTTTTTGTTCTTAGTCAGAAAAAATTTTGCTATATAATAAATTCCAAATAAAATAATTGGAGTAACGAACCCTAAAGAATAGAATTTAATTTTTTTATTATTATCATAATCTAATTCTTCATTTTTTTTAACATTAAAATCTTCATTTTTTAAATTGCTAATTTTATTTTCTACTAGATAAATGCTTTTTGAGTCATTAGCAACACATTT